AGAAATTATCCAATGAATAAATATCGACAAGTGGAAAGGTAAATAAGTCAGTTGCCCCTCGGTATCATTCTCTAAAAAGTGTGCCAATACTTCGGTATGTAACCACATTCTCTTGTTGCAACTTCTTATCAGCACTATTGTTTGTTGGTTACGGATGCCAGCTACAGATGGTTTTGAATCGACTTGACCCCGGACCATTTTGTGTGCAGAAGATACTAGGACCTTGGGAATCTGCCTCAGTTGCGCAGAAAGCAACTAAAGCACTGCTACTTTACCTTAAGTCAACAAACCTGAGCGAGCGCCTGTAAACTGTGTGTGCTCCCCGAGTGTGCTCATGATTGTGTGTACCTTCTCATCTTTCTGCAACCTCTTTTCTCCCCTTTATTCCTTCCCCAGTGCAGGGTAGCAAACCGGATGTGCGTCTGGTTACCCTCCCTGCCTTTCCTTGTATATTTCACTCTCTCTCTCTCTAAGTGTGTTTTTTTGTTTTGTGATCTTCAACGCTTTTCACTTCTCTCAGTAAGCATGTGCGTGTTCTCATACATAAGTCGTGTCTTTCAAAAATAAATCATCAATTGCAGTACCCTGCTTGTGTTTGCGTGTTTTTATGTGTGTGTGTTTTGTGTCCTGTGCCCTGCTTCTTCAAAAATCAAGTACATCAGTGTGGTTTATAGCTATTGCGATAGAATAAAATTCAATTCACGGGTAGTTCCATAATGCTAGAGAGCGCATATACGAGTGGTTCAAAAGCAATTGTAGTTTATGGCCAGAAGAATAGGCGTGCACACGGGAGAAGAAAGGGCTGGGGAGTGGGGTGCAAAGTCTGCCCGTACAACGACTACATAGAAAAAGGGGGGCTGTGACATACCTCCGCCCCCACTAAGAGGGAACGCTATGACCACATGCCTGTCTTACGAAGGAAGCAATGCGGGCTTGTTGGTCTGTGATTCTTCTCGGATGTGGGTGCAAAAAGACCAGCACTAAGATAAAAACTAAAGAACAGAGGCGCCCTTACCCAAGAAGCGGGTTTTATGAATTAAATAGTTCACGGTGTCAGAGGTGAGCTCCGTAAAACAATGTCAGAGCTTTGTTGCAGACATTGCTCTCGGGACAGACATTTCTATCCCAAAAAAGCTGTACATTTTGGTTTGCGAAAAGTGACTTCTTCAAAGTTTTAAGTTTCCCTGGGTGTAGTTTCGTATTAACGTAGGTTAAGTAGAAGTCTTGCCAGAAACTAATTCAGTGTATCGACATGCTAAAATTAGCAGCATCAGTTTATTTTCAAATAGAGTGGAAAAAGACGAAAGGATTATTTACCCCTTTTTAGCGAAGAAAGGTCGTAATTCTTGAGCAGGGAGCTTTTTATCATATCCACGTACATTGTGGGGGATCCGCAAATGTCTGTACATCTGCAGGAAAGAAACGTCTTGCTGTCAAGTGAATCAGTTTAGTCTCTCGTGGTCACACACCTTTCTGCAAGTAAATAAAGGATAATTGTGTTTACTCAGCTCGACCTTATGCAGTGTTCAAAAGGCAGAAGATTGGCGCCATTTACCTTTTTCAATGCGAAGCATTTTTTACGAGCCAAAGTAAATTAATGACCTCTATCTGCACCTCTCTATCTGCCAGCCACCAATGTTCAGGTGATCTCGGCGTCTCTTCCTTAAAGGGCCTCTTAAATTAAATGATGAACTGGCTTAGACTGATGAAATTTACTCTGAGAATGGGAATGCTGTCAACTCCAACATAACAAGTTTATCTTTACACCACAAAGTCAAGGTCAAAGTACTGTTTTTAATATTGCGACCAAATCTCCATGCAAGAAGCATTGGTTTCAAAATTGCATTTGTGGTACTTTCGCGGCCCTAGCCCGACAAGATGTCCTGAAACTTGCTATGTCAAGTCAAGGGCCTCTTTAGAAGTCAATGCACCGCACTTTACTCATTTGGAACTATGCGGGCCCCTGTATAGACGCCGTCATGCCTACGACGCACGGCGTTCTGCGAGGGAACTTGTAGGGGGCGTAGCTACACGCATTTTCTTTTTGCCCATTTTATAGCTTACCATGGGTCTACCTTGGCAAGCGAGGGGATTTTGGAATTTTCAACTTGTAGTTTACTGATAACAGGAAAAGCGTTTTTCTCTTAAGTGTTTCTTTATCATTGTAAATACCAAGAGTGGCGCAAAAGCACCAAAGGTGGCGCAGACCAACGTTACTAGAACTAGGTTCTAGTAACGTTGGCGCAGACTGTGTGACAAACATGACTTCACGTCACGAAGAATTCCGGCTGATTGCAGTCATTCCTTGAGCATGTTCAGTAGAAACAGCTTGGTAAACTTGTCGGTCGGTGTAGTAAATGACTGCAGCCGTACCTGTGCTCTTGGATGGCCTTGAACATAGCAGTTAGGTCGTAGCTGGGCGTTGGTACTACCGTCTTGATACCCGGTATTAAAGTCCGACCAAGAACAACGCTCAGCCCGTACACATGAAAGAATGGGAGAGGAACGCACATCACCATATCCTGAATGAGAAAGAGAAAAAGAGAGGTAAAAAGTCAGCCTTGAATTTTTAAAGGTTGTGAAGTCCGTGCAATAAAGATTGAAGTGCTGAGCAGAGTATACATGCATTTGAGTGGTTGCAGTGGCGTTTCACTGTAAGTACTACGCACGGAACAAATATTTTAGCTCTAGTTGGTTCCCACTAGCCATGGTGGGAGAAAGCGTGTCCAAACAGTACGCGCAATTTATCTCTGTTTCTTCATTATTTTTCTTTCAGCATTAGCGTCTTTCATGTTGGGGTCTATTAAGAACCTAAGCACCGGACGTTTCGTCGGTTAAAGCACACATTGCTAATTTTTTGAAATAAAATGAATCAAATTAAATTATCTTTAACGTGTAGCTTATGCTGCACACAATCAAACGGTTACCTCAGTCATGTTCGATTTGTAGTGGAATGCAATGACGTTGTTGACGAAGTTGTGATGACTAATCGTGGCAGCCTTCGGAGTACCGGTGGTTCCCTGCATAAATGAGCATAACCGGTTGGGCTATGAGTAAGAAGGATTGCTTCAGGCAGCAGCGGCAAAGTGACACAGGCCTTCAGGAAAGCGCAATTCTTTTCTAATACATTGTCGTCACCATTTTTATACCTTGTATATCATATTCATATCTCGGCGAAAAAATTGAAGTCCACTCAGGCTAACCAAAGAAATATATTTTGCCCTAAGTACTCACTTCGACTCAATCTTACCAACATATTACAAAACCGCAATCACTCAAACTTATACTCACGGCTTCATCCAAGTTTTATGAGCCTGAGTGATTTGACTCTGAAGTCCCTTGGAGTAAAACCACTTATGAAATAGTCACTTAAGGTAAACCGAATATTCAAGTGAATTTCGCTAGCGCTTCGTAGTGAGAAATGTTGAATTGGCTCTATCCTTATAAACATGTGTATTAGAAAGCCCAACACGTGCCCCTAAGGCATACTTTTCAGTTGAAGCATGACAGGTACTGCCATTTGCACGGAAAAAAATTGCGAGGCTTTTAAGCTTCGATTTCAATAGTTGAACGTGATAGCGATATCCTCTATCTAGTGCGTACTTTAATCACTTTGTACATACTCAATCAATCAGTGTTTATTAAACGAACTTAATAAAAATGTGGTTACAAAGTATTTAGGCCATTAGCCTGTGTGGCTAGTTACTGGTCCAATATAATACATGAATATTTTTTACATGTCAGAAGCAAAGGATGACATGATATGATTGTGAATCTTTATAAAAGTTCAATGATGGAGTAGCTTAACAGGTATACTATATATATGAAACGCACATAATATTAAATACGAGATTGCTGCTAAGTCCTAAGTACACAATAGGAAGAAACTAATGGCATACATTGTGTAAAGAGTACACAAGACGGGGCACTGGAAAAGAATGGACAGAATATTTGCATAAGGTTGCGTTGAAGGGTAAATAACAGTCGAACTTGCAACAATACAAAGAAGAAAAAAACAAGAAAGGGAGAAATCTGTACCAGGAGAGACAAAAAAATTACGGACGTGATCTTCACTGTAGTCAAGAACACGACTGATCGATAAAATGTATTTTGCAAGTCAAATACCTTGGCACGTAAGTTTCACTTGATTTGGCATTGCGTTGCAGATCTTAGCACCAGTGAACTAAATTAACCATTCGGCATGTACATTCCTACAATTTGGAAGGTTAAAGTTGCCATTGCCTGCATGCCTTGTGTTACGGGTGGGTGCAGAAACTAACTCATATGTAGTGGAAAGTTGGTGTTATTGATTAAATTTATCAATACCGCCGTTTTATAATTTCGTGAGACGTGAAAAGGCATTGTCCGAGTAAAAAAAATTAGACCGAGCTTGTGGTAGAAGAAGACGTAATGACTTGCAGGGCCCGTTTATGTAACAATGCGATCGGTTGGACGTACGTTGGATAAGGCAGCCCCATATTTCGCTCCAATAACTGATTTGAGAGTGAAATATAGAGAAGTATAACGATCGAAGCACGTTATATGGAAGTAACATTTGGCTTTAATGATCATGAAGCATTCGAAAGTGAACTTTTTGGATATGTAATTAACCTCATTGTTTCAATGTTTTCATCTATTTGAGTACTGTTATTCTTTTCAGCCCTGAACTTTCATTCTTTGTCAGACACATTCTTAGTAGGTATTTTAATAATAGTAAGGGTCTCAGAAGACCACTAACGAAAAATTGACTCAGAAGTGTAGTATTTTTGAATTGACAGCACTGACATCAAATTATATCATTATGGCCCCGTAGTCATGAATTGTGAAAAATGCTAAATTCATTTCTGCTGTGTCCTAGAGTGGACAAAATCTGAACAAACGTAGTATTTGAAAGTGTTGAAGCTCCTAAAGTGGCTTCAAGACTTTACAACAAAAATTCCGCCTTCCGGCCTGTGCTTTCCCACGTCATTGTCACCAAAAACCTCGGTACAGATTCTTCTTCGTTACGGCTTCATTTTCCGCAAAAATGAAGCAAGGGTTCCTGACCTTTTTTTCTTTCTTAATTTTTGTCTTTTGTTTATGTATGAGATTTTAATAAAAAGAAATTCGGCTGAACCCTTTTCGTAAGACTCCTAATTTCTGCTCTGTAGGCAAGTACCAGCAAAATGCAGCTATTATGTACCATCCTCTTGAGGGATTGTGCTAATCTACCAGTCATGACTTGAGAGTGCACGTAGAATGTGCTCCACCCCGTTGTAATTCTATTAGCTACTTCAATCTCGTGCTTCGGCTACGCGCTCACAACCTCTCCTGAATATAGACGCACTCTTTTTTAACTTCAGGTGCACTGCTACTTAAATCGAATCGCTCTTTCCTTTTGATGTTTTTGCACGTTACTTTCTTTTCTGCAGAGTAATTTTAGGACCTACCTTTCTGTTTTCCCTGTTCAATTGCGTATTCATTGTTGGCGATTCGCCCTTGAGTTACTCAGCAATGAAATGTCAACGGCGAAACGCAGGTTACTAAGGTAGTCTCTAATAACTGTTATCTTTATTTCTTCCCATTATGGGCTTTTGAAAACCTCTTTCAAGCAAGCGGTAGACAGCATTGAGAAGATTGTATCCCCTTGTCTAACACCTTTCTTGATTCGTATTGTGTCGCGTTTTTTAAGGAGCACTATGGTGGCAGTGGATCATCTATAGATTTTTTCCAGGGTGTTTATATGTGTTTCGTCGATGCCGTGATGCCGCATTGTCTGCATTACTGCTGATATTTCTACTGAACCAAATGCCTTCTCGCGATTTATGAAGGCTATGTATAGTGGTTGGCTGTATTCTGACCATTTCGCTATAACCTGATTGATAGTATAAATGTGGTTGATTGTTGAGTAGACTGTTCGAAACCTTGCTTGTTACTTTGATTGAATGAATTTAAATGTTTTCTTAGCTCTGTTAGGAATGACCTTTATAAATAGCTTGCATACTATGGAGAACAAGCTGATTCGCCTGCGGTTCTTCAAATCCTTATCAACTCTTTTCTTATGCATTAGGATGACTCCACGCTTTCAGTCTTACCTATATGGACACACATTTACAGTCGTCAGCGGCCACTGCTCATTGTGTTGGCTCGTCAACCATCGGGATCCTTGCGGTCGTCTAGCGCGCTGGGCACTTCAACTTGAAGAGTGTAGCTCAACAGTTTCATAAAAAATCGGTTGATGACTCGCCGACGCAGATTGCCTTTCGCGCATGACACTGAGCACTACAGAGTGTGGCGCTGATGACCTCGACCACCTCGTAGCCTCTGTTTTACCAAACCTTCCCAACCTGAGTACTTTCAAAGACGAACAGTGAAAGCACACCAGACTGTCGTCGCTCTGTACAGCTACAGCATGCCATTTCTGCGTACGCAACGGACTCCTGTATAAGAACTTTTCAAGCACTGGCACACGTTTTCTCTTGGTGGTGCCGGAAAGCCTTCGGCCAGTGATTTTAAGTGTTATGCAAGACGATCCTACGTCCGGATATTTACGTTCTGCGCACATGCTCTACCGTACCAAGGAACGCTTTTATTGGCCGGCAATGCAACAGTCCGTCGAGATGTATGTGGCCAGCTGCACGCAGTGTCAACGCCACAAACGCCCATCTACTGCTCCGGCTGGTCTTCTACAGCCCCTGCCACCTCCAAACACACCTATCCAAGTGGGCATTGCCCTCATGGGCCCTTTTCTAAAGTCAGCTAAGGGCAATCACTGGGTAACTGTATGCGTCGTTTACCTCACACTGTACTGCGAGACGATGGTCATGCCAACCGCAACCTCCAGCGACGTCTCTGTATTCCTGCTGCAGTACGTTATCGTCCGATATAGCCCACGTCACGTGATCACCAGTGATTGTGGATGACAATTCACGGCAGGTATAGTTGAAGGGCTGCTTCGATTGTGCGAGTTCCACTTTTGTCACTCGTAACCATCTCACCCGCAAACAAATGGGCTTACGGAGCGCACCAACCGAACAATTCTAAACATGCTCCTACGTATGGGGATCCGACCAAAAGATCTGAGACGACGTGCTATCACCTAAAACGTACGTGTTCAACACCGCTAAGAACGAGGCAACGGACTATAGTCTCTCCCCCCCCCCCTTTTTTTTTCATGTACGTGCACGACTGCCGCAGCGCACACTCGACACATTTTTGCCATTTTGGACGCACGATTACATCTATGTCACAGAAATCTCCTGCCTTGCAAAGAAGTCGCGCCGTATTGCTCGTTAATGTACTTTGGCATCCCATAACAAAAGTGCTTGAGGTGTACCCTTTCTTGCCCGCGTCTTTTATGCGCCATATTCACGCTGTAAAAGATGATTTCAGCATTATTCCAAGAATCTGGCACCCTTTCCCGTCAGGAGACACTTCGTAAGCAGGGCGGCGAGTTTTTCTCACACAATCTGTCTTCCGTATTTCAGCAGATTCCATGTTCCCCAATCCTCACCAACCTTGCCCTTTTGCTTTCTGTCTTCATTTGTCATTACTGGTGGTATGTCATGTGGGTTACTGCTAGTTATTACAATATGGTCATGATTGCCCCGGCTACTGTACAGATCTCTGCTATTTGCACTATCTCATCCAGATTAGTAGTTACTTTGCGTCCCTGTCCCTTAGTGCATGCATCGGGTTTTCGCCTACACGAAGTTTCCTCTTCACCACTTTGACACTTCCTTCGTTATTTAGAGCGTGTTCGATTCTTTTCACATTCTTACTTCGGATACTTCACGCTAATTATCAACTTCGAAAACTCTGCCAGTTCTATTTTATCAGTTGTGCCTGAAGCTTTCATGCCTTGATGTTTCTTGATGAGATTCTTTGTCTACTGGGACAGCTTGCCAGTGTATTGTCTGAGTACCCTACCTTCAACTTCTACTGCACATTCTGTTATGATACTCCTCAGATTATCATTCATTGCGTCAGCACTAAGGCTGGTTTCTCCAATAAGAGCTTAATATCTGTTCTGTAGCAAGAC